ATGTCATGTGTCTCTCCAGTCCCTCTCTCTACTCCTACTACTGAGATATCCCATACCCTACCTACCTCCCTCTGTGGAATCCTATACAACCACCTACTCATGTTTAGCTTCCCAAACTCCCTCTCCTAACACCAATAGCATACACTCACTTTGCAATATTCCAGCTTTTCCAAGCAGGACTTACATGGCAGATGAGGCTCTGCATACTCTTCAGTCTGATCTGTTATCGGAGATCAGAATGGCATGGAATGAGTGACCAGAGATGAGGAAATGGAGAAATGGTGATGTAATGTTGGGTCTTCCTGGAAGAGGGGTGAGTCTAACTAAAAAGAAAAATGTTAGCCTGGTTTGCATTCACCCCAGACTGACCAGCTGCCACAATGGCCAGTCCCACTCAGGGTAGTAATGGTATAGAATGTTTTTAAAACGCTCTCATATTGGTTGAATCCCACAGTTCAGTCACATCTTATTATCGCAATTCAAATAGCATCACCATATTTGCCAAATGAGACAGGCTGAGGTGAGGAGGTATTAACAAAAAAAAAAAAAAAACTACACTGAAGGAGCGCTGTGAGAGAAACTACGGTGCCACCAAGGCCAAAGGTGTGAAGAGTTTGAAGGAGAGTGTGATCAATGAAGTTAAAAGCAACAGAGGTTTAGAATAATCAGTATTGAGTAGTGGTCTTTGAATGTAGCTGTGATTAGATCACTAGTCATCAAGTGATGTATTTGTGCTGTGTTTATTGAATTTTCTATGGTGTCCCTAGTAATGGGACACAAGAAATCAAGCTTGAGAGGGTGGACAAATCTGAACTGTGTTGCCGAAACTGCTGGGAGGCATGTGTTTATCATTAGCTAAAACTATTATTGAGAAACAATAAACAGTGACTAAATGGAGCCAAAAAAATCTTCCTCACCCTCATTTTGACTGAACTCCCCAATGTGTTAAAAAAAAATGAATTGGGGTCTAAACCTTCACCATGCATGGGAGACAACCTGACTAACTAGCACTAGCTTAACACTTTGATAGCTGCAGATGAAAGTATAATATATATATATATATATATATATATATATATATATATATATACACACACACACACACACACACCTTTTGTGTTGGACTAACATAAAAACCAATAATAATGGGGGGGGGGGAAAGGTATTGCATACTGCAATACTCTAGACTAATAGACTAATACGGCTAATCCAATCTACACTATATATATATATATATATATATATATATATATATATATATATAAAATATTTCACTGAAATTGTGTATTATTTTATGTATACCTGTAGAATAAAAGCAGAATTCATCTCATAATAATTGACTAGAAGGAAACACGACTGCAGCAATGTACAGGGTAAATTCTCCACTGATATGACAGTTATGGCTGTGATGATCCATTGATTACTATGGATATATTATATTTGGCTAAGTCTCTGTCTAAGCATTGAGGTTATAGATGATGTCCCTTCCAATATTTATGAATGTCACACTCAGATCTTACAGTAAATGGGAGTGTTTCCTTACAATGCGATGATTTAACAAATTGGTGAAGGTGACTGGATTTAGTGAAGGAGATTAGTTTAAAGTGATCTGACACTCGTTCCTTTTAAGGGTAACACATTTGATCATTGATAACTGTTTTTAGCTATATTGTAGAACCATAACCACTTCAACTGATCATAGTGGTTATGATGCAAAGAGACGGTGAGCACCTCCCCACTGTTTTATTGTCAAACTGTTTTAGAGTAGTGTGACAAGAAAACAGAGCTCCACATGGGTGTAAGAACCAGAGGAGGCTTAAACTAATATCCAGGGACAGACTGACAGCTTTCTGGGCCCCTGGGCAAAATGATATCATGGGCCCTTCAAAGACCAAATATTAAGTATTAAAAGGGACACTATAGTCACTAGAACAACTACAGCTTAATGTAGTTGTTCTGGTGTCCATAGCCAATCCTTGCAGGCTCTTTAATGTAAACAGTGCCTTTTTAGAGAAAAGGCAATGTTTACATTACTGCCTAGGAACACCTTTAGTGGGAGGCACTGATGTTCAATGTCTCCATGCTCTGCATGTAGACTTGAACACGTCCCATCGTTTGATTTATTCAATTCATTTATTCTATGAGGAAATGCTGATTAGTGCAGCGTGGTGTTTTGCTGTGCATGCGCAATAGCCTCTCAATGCTTTCCTATAGGAAAGCATAGGATTGGCTGATATCAAATTTGGATGGAACCAGCTGCAATGAAATTGGCGCGGCACTGGAATAAAGGTGAGTAAAAACACCTTTTACTTCTCTGACGGGAGGCTGGCAACCGAAAAATGCTTTCAAAACTATAGTGTGAACACAGGGGAGTGTTGGTGTATGAATGCCAGTGTGTATTAGTGTGGAAAGTCTGTGCATGAATGCCCGGAGAGATTTATATGGATTGTCAGCACGTGAATGCAGTATGTTTGAGCAGTGTGTATGTGAATGCTGGAGTGTATTTGTATGTGTGCAGAGTGTAAGTGTGTGTGTCTATGTATGTGTGAATGAGGGGTGTATCTAAAATCTGTGTCGGAGTATGTGTGAATGAGGGGTGTATCTAAAATCTGTGTCAGAGTGTGAATGAGGGGTGTATCTAAAATCTGCGTCAGAGTATGTGTGAATGAGGGGTGTGTCCAAAATCTGTGTCAGAGTGTGAATGAGGGGTGTATCTAAAATCTGTGTGTGAGTATGTGTGAACGAGGGGTGTATCTAAAATCTGTGTCAGAGTATGTGTGAATGAGATCTGTATCTAAAATCTGTGTCAGAGTATGTGTGAATGAGGGGTGTATCTAAAATCTGTGTCAGTGTATGTGTAAATGAGAAGTGTTTCTAAAATCTGTGTCAGAGTATGTGTGAATGAGGGGTGTATCTAAAATCTGTGTCAGTGTATGTGTAAATGAGAAGTGTATCTAAAATCTGTGTCAGTGTATGTGTGAATGAGGGGTGTATCTAAAATCTGTGTCAGTGTATGTGTGAATGAGGGGTGTATCTAAAATCTGTGTCAGAGTATGTGTGAATGAGGGGTGTATCTAAAATCTGTGTCAGAGTATGTGTGAATGAGGGGTGTATCTAAAATCTGTATCAGTGTATGTGTGAATGAGGGGTGTATCTAAAATCTGTTTCAGAGTATGTGTGAATGAGGGGTGTATCTAAAATCTGTGTCAGAGTGTGTGAATGAGAGGTGTATTTGAAACTTGAATCAGTGTGTATGTGAATGAGGAGTATATCTGAAATCAGTGTCAGCATGTGTGTAATGAGGTATGTTGTATATGCTGGAAGTGTTTTTGTAGTTTTTTGACTCTCCATCTTCTTCTGAATTTCTGTCTCTCTCGATCTTCACCAATCTGTATGTGTGTCTTCCCATTAACTTCCTCTTTTATGTGTCACTCCTTGCCTCCTCTGTTGTTACTCTCTAACACCACTTGTCACTCTTCTGACCACTTTCTGTCCTCCTCACAACCCACTCAGTTGTGTCTTTGCTGCACCTCACACTTCTCCTTCCTAAATAACCCACATTTGTCTTCCATCTCACTTAGAGGGACACTATAGGCACCCAGACCACTTCAGTTTATTGAAGTGGTCTGGGTGCACTGTCCCACGTCCCTAAACCTTGCAAAGGTAGTTATTGCAGTATTAAAGAATAATTACCTTTTGGGTGTTAACTCCACCTGTAGTGGCGGTCTACCAGACGGCCACTAGAGGGACTTCCATGTTGTTAGGCGACTTTTGGTCGCCTGACGCTGGACTTCCTCATGCTATGCATGAGGACATCCAGCATTGTGTAAAACCCCATAGAAAAGCATTATACATGCTTATCTATGGGGGAAAGTACTAATGCGAGTGCAGCCACTGCTACGCATGCACCATAGGTCTCCGGAGTAGAGCTTGAACCTGCGCCGAGGGACATAGGCACTGGAATCAGGAAACCCCTATTACACTACAGGGGGAGTTAGGTGCAGGTGGGTAGGGGCCAGCGGCACTTTAAGGAGCTATAGTGCCAGGAATACAACCTTGTTTTCCTGGCACAATAGTTTCCCTTTAAATTTTTAACTCACCCCATTAATTATTATTATTTAAAACATTCAGCACTTAGACTCATAAGCATAGGGAACACACTTAAACAGCATAATAAGTAATATATAAGGGATATAAGCAATCAATATCAGCTAATGACACCTTAGTTAAACTAATTATAAATAAATAAATAAAAATCCCCTATAAGTGGGAAAACTCGTGAGTTCCCAATTAATAATAAAAACACACACATGACAAAAACATTAAGAAAAAAAACAAAAAAAACAACAAAGATGTCTAACCACATCTTACCCACATCTCTACAAACCCCTGTGTGCCTCTACCCTGTCTCAATCGTCATCCCACATATTTATCTGCCCTGTTTACCCCAAGCCTGCTTACCTGCACCAGTTTTGTTTTTTTTTCCTCCTTCCAGCTTGGGAGGATCTGCTGTGGCTACTCCTGTTCTCACCATCCATTCATGCTGTGAGTGCTCAGTGTGAGAGGGGAGCAGGGGGTGTGATATCATTTCCTGCCCCCTCCCATCCTCTACTGATGGCAGGGAGAGAGAGGAGCCCTGGCAGTGAGAGCAGGTAAGTTGCCAGGTCTCACACTGAATCAGGGAATGGAATTGCAGGTTGACAGGTTGCTGCCCCTGCAACCTTCCTTCTGACTGTGGAGATCTCGGATCTCCACTTCAGAAAGGTGCGTGCAGCCGGGCTCTATTATTTTTGCACAAAGATGAACATGGTTGTATTGCACTAAATTCAGTCAGGTTTAAAGGGATAGTATAGTCACCAGAATAACTACAGCTTAAAGGACCACTATAGTGCCAGGAAAACAAACTCGTTTTCCTGGCACTATAGTATTAATAGGTCCCCCTCCACCCTCAGGGCCCCCCTCCCGCCAGGCTGAAGGGGGAGGAAGGGGTTAAATCACTTACATTCAGCTGATGACGTCCCAAGGAGGAGGAGAGTCCCCAGCGCCGAGGGAGCCCGGCGCTGGGGACTCTCCTCCTCCTTGGGACGTCATCAGCTGAATGTGCATGCGCGGCAAGAGCCGTGCGCACATTCACTCAGTCCATAGGAAAGCATTCTCAATGCTTTCCTATGGACGCTGGCGTCTTCTTACTGTTTACAGCAGGCTGGGTTAACCCTAGAGGGACCTGGCACCCAGACCACTTAATTGAGCTGAAGTGGTCTGGCTGCCTATAGTGGTCCTTTAATGTAGTTGTTCCGGTTTGTCCCTGCAGGTTTTTTGCTGTAAATACTGCCTTTTCAGAGAATAGGCAGTGTTTACATTGCTCCCTTGGGACACCTCCAGTGGCAGTCATTCAGATGTGATGCACAATGTCTATTTCATACCCTATAGTGTTCCATTAAATTCTTGGAGTATTCTTTACCTATCCATTCACCAGATATGATGGTAATTATGAGATATTTGAAAAAACTTGAAAATTTGAAAACGTTTGGACTGTTAACCTAACTGTATTTCTTCTACTAGAATTAGTTGCTTAAGCATATTATATTATTTTTTGTTATTGACTCTTGGTACAAATAGCCCCTTTCAATTTACACCATAGGATGGATAATTAATGTAAGAGCAACATATAGCTCCAGGGCCGGCCTTAGGGGTGTGCGAACTGTGCGGCCGCTGTGACAGAGCACTCCCCTAATACAGGCTGCACTGTGTAGCTTGGCCGCGCTCCACCCTCATCCCCCTCTTAACTGTGCCCTCACTGATAGTCCCCAAACAGGTATATCAGCAAAGGGGGCGGAGTTATGCGGCAATCGGAGGCCGAGCTACAGGCAGGGAAAACCTGCCTGGTAAGTTAGAGGAAGCAGAAAGGAGTTCCATCTCCCCCACCTACCACCACACTGCCCCCTGCTCCATCACCTTCCCTAACTGTGTCCCCTGCTCCCCCACCTACCCTAACTGTGCCCCCTGCTTCCCCACCTACCCACTGTGATCCTGCTCCCCCTATCCACTGTGCCCCTTGCTCCCCACCGCACCTATCCACTGTGCACCAGCTACCCACTGTGCCCCTGCTCCCCTACCTACCACTACACTACCTATGCTCCCCCACCTACCACTGCTGTGCCCCTGCTCCCCAACCTACCACTACACTACCTATGCTCCCCCACCTACCACTACTGTGCCCCTGCTCCCCAACCTACCAATACACCACCCCTGTGCCCCCAGCTACCACTACACTACCACTGCTCCCCCACCCTCCTCCACTATGCCTTCTGCTCCCCACCTACCAGTACACAACCTCTGCTCTTCAAATCAGCACACATATCACACACATCCAATGCACATATATATCACACACAGTCAATACAATTACAAATATTACACACAGCCAACACATAGCATACATATCACTCCATATCAGCCATCACTCCTATCACACACAGACACCACACACTACATCATACTATTATGAGATTTATTACAGCAGAGCTCTCTCATACAAAATGCAATATGTAGCTGTCCTCCAAGCTCAGGCCAATCAGAACGTTGCCACGGATTACTACAGGAAAGCTCTGTCACTGTAAGTGCCTGATCTCACAAGACAGTTAATTATGGTCTTGCACCCGGTGGAGGTGCCGACCAGACTCCCAGCATACTGTATCACCAGAGATAAGCATGCCCACCTCCCTGCAAGGTACAGACACTACACCACCTATTGACACACACAGTAAATGGATAAGGGGATATGATGGGGGAGCGCCGTGAAGATTTTTCGCACAGGGCGCCTTAAGGCCTAAGGCCGGCCCTGTTTAGCTCTGATCCCCGGATTACATTAACATTATATCTTATTATTTAATATTCATTCATAGAAACGATGATGGCCATGGGTGACGTTATCATAATTATTATTCTGTTAGAGACTAGGGAAATAGGACTTCCCTGAACATTTAAGGTGGGCCAGCCATTTGATGAGTAGAAAGGCAGGAATGTTTTTTTTTTTAGTTTTTATTTCTTGATTTTTTTTAATTCATTTTTTATTGAGCAGTTCAGTACAAATGACATAAGCACATGTTGCACAGAATACAAATGAACAACGAGTTTTATAAATAAGGAACATAAGAGCAGTCAAGGCAGAAAGGTCAGCATTACAAGACAGTCAGCATTTAATAACATTTGATATGATCCGTAAATGGGGAAATTGGAGGAGGGGACAAAACTCTTTATGTTTCCAAACAAACTGACCATAATAATTAGATATACAGTCTTTAGAGGCTAAATCACTAACGCCATATTTTGTTGTCTTATTTGTGCGTCTCTACATAAACACAGTTTTGCAGCTGGTTACCAAGTCCTGCTCTAACTAACTTATTACCCCTAACCTAACTCATCAGAAGCAGGGCTCCAGTTTTGTGGTGTTTAATCACCCGTAAGCACTGAAGCCACCTACGTTACAAAGATATAACGGACATATAGAAGTACGGTAAATGGGCATATTTTAAATAAACACACACCGTTTTAGCTCCGACTCATCTCTGATGGTCCTGGAAGGAAAGATGAGGGAGGGGGGGGAAGGAGAGTATTAAAAGAGCCAAGACAGAAGGGGGTTCTGGCAAAGCTCCATGAAGGTCAAGACGACCTTCAAAATCACTTTATAGATTATCTTTTTTCATACTGTATAATTTGTTCTAATGTCTTGGCTGGCTTCCCAAATGAGTACAGGCCAAGCGACTGACAGAGAAAGAATGAGATGGGGAGAGAAGAAGAAACATGGGTAGTGAGAGACTGCTAAATGTAACACTGAAGTACAGAGCAAAGCAGAAATAGGTAAAAACTTATAGGAAGGGGGGACTGGTAAAGCACAGTAAGCAACACAAGACTACAGGAAGACATAGGAAAACAGATAATAGCTAGAGGGGTATATTATACCCATGAATTACAAATTTATAATTAGAATGTACACTGCAAACTAAACCCACATATATATATATAAATGAATGTCTTGAATTGTATTCATAATTTGTATATCTGTAACACTATATTTATGTCATTCACACATTCAGAGCTACATGTAGCTTTTTAACTGCAGACAAGGATTCTGGTAGGATCTGTAATATGTTACAGATCCCTTAACCCCTTAAGGACACATGACATGTGTGACATGTCATGATTCCCTTTTATTCCAGAAGTTTGGTCCTTAAGGGGTTAAAGGACAACTATAGTGCCAGGAAAACAAATTCATTTTCCTGGCACTATAGGGTCATTAGGTGCCCCCCACCCTCAGGGCCCCCCTCCCGCTGGGCTGAAGGGGTTGAAACCCCTTCAGCCACTTACCTTTCTCCACCCCCGGGCTCCCTCAGCGCTTTTGACCTCTCCTCCCCCTGCCGACGTCAGTTCCGAATGTGCATGAGCGGCAAGAGCCGCGCGCGCATTCCAACCGCCCTTAGGAAACCATTACTCAATGCTGGATGTCCAGCGTCTTCTCACTGTGATTTTTACAGTGAGAATCGCGGAAGCGTCTCTGGATTAAACCTTAGTGAAACATAGCAGTTTCTCTGTATGTTTTCAGCTGCAGGGTTAAAACTAGAGGACCTGGCACCCAGACCACTTCATTGAGCTAAAGTGGTCTCGGTGCCTATAGTGGTCCTTTAAGTTTACTAAAACCATAACCTGTTGCTTGAATTTAATTGTCCAATACTTGATACAGATAATGTAACAAAGCATAGTACCACATCTAAAGTACAGCCTGGCAGCTGGCACACATTCATCTCAGGGGAGGGAAGGACAATATCCTGACATACTATGAATCAACACCAGTTTTCATTATGGACACTTATTAATAATGCATCTTGCATGGCACAATTTCTTACAGCCCTATATTTAACATGGATAGCACAACTACAAAAGTAAAATATGGTCACCCTGTACATTTTCATGCAAATAATAAGCCTAAGAACACAACATATTACTTTAAAGGCTTACTTCAAGCACCATGACTACTTTGCTGAGAAATGCTGCACATACTGTGTTTAACTCCATGGCTGACGGAAATGTAACCTCTTCTCCAGCAGCATCATGGTGTGTCATCAGCCAGCCCAGAACTAGAGTTTCGAGCTGGGCTTATGTCAATTTTGTGCAAGTTTTATTTTAAACAATGTGCCATTCACTGTCTGCTAGCTGTCAGGTGACACTCTCAGCCAATGATGGCGACTAAATCGGCTTTCAGATTCTGTTGTTTGGCTGAAGTCAATAGAACCACACAAAGCCTGGCATGAACGCAGATAAGAGGACAAACTGTTACTAAACACTTTGGAGATTTACCAGGGAGCCGGCCCGGGAAACACCTGGTATCATAACCACTACAGCAGGGTGTAGCGGTTATGATGTATGGAGAAATATGTTTAATTCTACATGTATAAAGCTTCCTACACACAGTCAGTACAGCTGGTTGAAGCACACTTAGGCAATGCATGGTAAGCTGACTGTGCTGATAAATTTCAGGTAAGGCTGGGACCAAGTATACACGGGTCATTCTGATGATCAAAAGACAAGTCCCCACTCTACTTAAACAAAATGGCACTTCCAGGTAACTCACACAAGTCTGATTTAGAACTCCCACATGCTGCCATGGTTGAGACAGTAGAATAGTTACTTCCATTATTCCATAACAAATTTAACATTAAGGTGAGACAATAAAGAGGGACAAACCACTTCTATTGATAATTGTTGTGGTTAGTACAGTCAAATTAGTAGCAATAAGTATGGATGAAATATCCACTCTCTCTAAAACATAAAACACTGTGTCCTACTGAGTTAAACATTTCCCTTTCTCTACATGACTTAACTAGCAGAAACTGGGCTGCTAATTCATGCAGTAAAAGCCACATATCCATGCTATCCCATATATATATATATATATATATATATATATATATATATATGTGTGTGTGTATGTACAAGGGAGGGACAAGCACAAAATGCAATACTTTCATAAGTTATTAAAATGTGTTTGAAATGTATTTCGCTCTTCATATTAACATTAAACAATTATAAAAAATATCTCTCTTTAAAG